CAAACAGAAGTATAAGCTATGACGGTACTTATAGACAAGCTAGAGGTCGGCCGGACCGATGCAGCCCTGCTTGTTGAAGAACTCGCTGGGATGTACTCTACTCCTACTCCTAAGGGTTGGCATCGAGCCGAAAAAAGTAAATTGTATTTGATTGATTGGATGTCTATTACAATGGCCGAAGGTTTATATTTATACCCCGGACGGATAAGAGTCCTGAAGGGACTTGTCTAACAAGATATATCTAAAACAAAGGAAAATATTTAAAATACAATGACTCTATTTCCCCTTTTGTAGAGTTCTTGTTAATAAAGCTTTCTTTGGCCCACGTGTCTTCTCTTGTTTAATTCAACCGGCAAAGATCCTCTATGCAAACACCTTGCCGAGCATGTATATGAATATGACACCTAGCCGGCCATGTACATGCACATACATGATATACGTGTCCTTGTTCGTTAAGCAAACGGAATATAATATTCCCAAATCTTCCACAGTATATTTCCTGATTTTCTCTCCTAGGCAAACAAGTTGCACGTAAGATTATTCTCCTTGTACTTGCCTTCCATTTGCTTCCATATTCCTTTAACATCTGATCTTGCATGCACGTGATTTGTATATGAACGTGACATCAAGCCAGCCAATATATACGCATACACGTGTATGATAGTGTCTTGGCTTCCTTTATTGTTGATATGCACCTGGACGCTATGTTTATCCCGGGCTTCCTTCAATCTTCTTTACGCACGTACAAGCCAACTCTCAATCTGGCTGGCTTTCCTTTTCTTCATGCACGTACACCATCAAGATTTAGGTAATTAACATGATACGCATGGAATTTGGAGACCTGTTCCCTTTTCAATTGATGAATATGTTGGACTCCTTCCTAGCCTGGCCTGTACGGAACCAATCCATTGCACAGCCTGGCGTATCCCAAGTGCATGAAACCAGCAAGTATCCTACCTGGACTCCAACTCCATTGTCCATAACCGATGTCCTCCCATGTCTTAGAACCTCCAAGTTGATTAGGAGATTTTTCTTGCTTTCAACATCATCGGCCGATCTCTTCTTTTTCAGAGAAAGCTTACTAAATTTTGGTGTCAACACAGACCCCCCTAGTTCGGAGTATGAATTTTCATGCTTCGAACTATTTTGATTCGATGGTCTTCTTTCCCTGAGTCAATGACAACTGATTGTAATCACTGAAAGCTGCATCGGCTCCATCTTCTTCTGGATCTTGATAACTCCAAAATTGATCTTTCTCTGCATCCTCGTCCATCTGCTTTAGCCGATTAGGAGTTGGCCCCCCGAGTCTATAATTACAATAGGCTATCTAAAGGTAATAATCATGAACATCGGGCTCTTCCCTGCTATTGACCATTAAGTATTTGTATATGTGACTAGCCGAAGAACACCATGCTAAATCGATCGCACAAATATGAACTATCAGCTGGCAACAAACTCGATCATAGCAACACAAGTTAACCGGCAGTATGAAAATATGCTGCATAAAAGCTCAGGTATTCTAGCCGATAGTCTTCTTCCAAGGAGTCGAGGAATTCACTGGCAGCAATATTAACTTATTCCAAGCCTCACCTACACATGTGAACTTTGAAGTGTCTACCACGCCATCTTGGGTGGTTGAAGAATGGAACGGATTAGAATACAATCATCATCGCTTCTCCTGCTCAGAAAACTTAGGTTTTTGAAAGATTATCAAAGTAAAACATAGCTTTGCTCCTCAAATGATTCTTTCAGATCGCTCGATGTGAATAGTTCCTTATCAAAGCATTGCTTTGTCTCTCTTTATCCTACTTCTAAAAAGCCTATGTGGAGTTCAGGTAGGGATAAAAATATGTAGCGTACTTATCTTGCATATATTGTAAGGTCAAATCACGATCCAATGAGAAAATGTCATACTCTTAGATCATGATGTGCATGTGCGTGAAATATTTGGTGGCTAACCTAATTCTACTATGCTCTTTGAAATATATTTCTCTTATATGGAATATTTTTTAGAGAACATGGGCTATCTTTTCTTATCTTTTTCTTTTCCCTTTTTTTATTTATTTTGGATTTCTTTTGTATCCATCTTCTATATATTTTCACATAACCCATGTCTCTCTTTATAACAAATTTTTGAGAGAAATATTATCAAGAACTTGGAGCATTTATTCTAATAAAACCTAACATATTTTTGTCTTCTCCTAGCGTAGGAGCAGAATCTTTTGAGATGGATAAAAAACATGTTTTTGCGTACTTTCAGTATAGAAGCAGCACATACATGTGGTGTGTACATGATCTTGATCTTGAGAACATGATAAATCTCTCAACAAGGGTCAACAAGACTTGACAAAACTCAACATAGAGCAAGCAGCTTATGTGGAAGGTTTTTAATAAGACTAATATATGGCTCTGGTAGGAAATTCAACATCATTAAAGAGACAATCTATTGATTTTGAATTTTTGTAAAAAAAATTTCCAAGTACTTTGCAAAAAAAACAAGGTTTTTTTCATCATACCATATCTCATTCATCAACTACCTAGATAACATGTTTTTCCTATGATAGATTGTTCACAGGTGACAAGAAAAACAAAGACTAAAGAATAATATGCGAGCCAAGCATAGAAGGGCATGTACCGGCATGTACCTCGTATCTGCATGTACGCTCCTCCATTCCGAGCCGATAAGCGCCTCCGCTTAGGACCGATTTAATATAATGATGCTCTCACCAGTGCGCTTATCGGCTGCTGCATCTGGAATCCTCGTATGCTTCTACAGTGCCGCTATATAGAGAACTGAAAATAATATTCTTAAATAGCCGATATACTTTTCACCAGCGATGTCGGTTGTCTTCATATATTCATATACTCCTTCATTCGAAATAATCTGATCTTGCCTTGGGTAGGAGCACGACGTAGCAGATTTTACTTCCCACGTAAATGTACAATTTCTCAATAGGGAAAGTATCTACCTGCAGCGACTTGCAGCATCTTGGGGTCTTGACTAGCTGTAATTTTACTCAGACGCGCTGCTGTTTTGCAATAGCCGATCATAATAGCCGATTGAGGAAAACTTAATCCGACTCCAATAAGTACATCGGCTTGATGCGTGATCACCACATAAAGGGCCTCATTGGCTTAATGTCCTGGCATTCCCATTATGAGCTGATGAGTAACCTTGTGACTTCCTATTTTATTTTGGAATTGGCCATTATAAGCCGAGGCTTTGACTGGACGTAGCTTGATATCAGTGATGACTTTATCCTTCTCCTTTTACTATTTGTATTCTTTCGTAGATACAAGTACACACAGAAGAACCTTCAATTGCTTTCCATGAGATGACAAGCACAACTTTCTAGTCAAATGTCGTGACAGACTTATGCGTGCCAAGCTTGGTAAACGTAATCGGCCCTGGGCCAGATTCATTGTTAGAAATAGAACCAATCAGCCTTGGCCAGATGCTCTAGCAATCATGTGCAGCTAGGCTGGCCCCTACCGACTTCTGTATATATGTTGCTGCATCTTCTGGTATACGTTAGCGTTGTAGACAACAAGGCCGAACTGGTTGAGCTCCAGCTGCACCTTCTCGAACACGGTCTGCTTGATCGACTCTGTCGCACAAGATCTCCTCCATGGTCATGGATGTCGCCAGCATGCGAGTTCCTCAATCTGGGCTCCGACCCCTAGTCTCCCAGGCCCGCGTATGGTCACGAACAAGGATGATGATGAAACTGCAGACTCATGTCTAGAGTTTGTTTGATCAGTTAGGGCTAGTTATTATTGGACTAAAAAGTAGTCCAAATCAGTTAAGATTGGCTAACAATTAGTTAAAGGTTTGAGCAACAAATTACTCCCTCCTTCCTATAATATAGTGTATTCTAACCTTCAAAATTTATCCTCAAATATAATACATTCTAGAGGACAAAAATCAAATTTGCATTAACACCCTGTTCGCTTGACCATATCAGCCATGCTTATCAACCATAATACAGTATTTTTTTCTCACAACAAAACAGCATCAGCCGGCTTATAAGCCACAGAAACGATCAAGCGAATAGGGTGTAAATACTTTCCATTTATCGACTAGTCACCATTAAATGAGGGTACATGCGTCTTTTATGTTCTCTCTTAATCTGTCTTAAAATTCATAGAATGTTACAGGATAGAGAGAGTACTCATCTATTAGCGTAATTAACCCCTAGTATCAAATAATCCCCGAATCCTCCTTTTTACTGGTTAGCGTAGCAGTAGTGGATTGAGTCCTCTCGATATTGTTTTAGACCAAAGGCCAAAGGCCCCGCTATATAGAAAGCAAAGAGTTTTGCTGGGGAAATCAGCTTTTCGTCCTGTTCAGCTTGGCTTATAAGCCGTACTTTTTCAACCAACGAACAATATTTTTATCTCACAATAAATCAGCCAACAATATTTTCAGTCATAACTTATCGATCAAGCGAACAGGACATTTACAAGCAGGTTCATAGACGTGCTCAAAGCACCACACTCTACCTCCCAGTTGAAGTTTCTACCAAGCCACTACATTACAGAGTTCCAAAAAACCAAACATGGATGCCATTCCAGACACGGTAACAAAAGAAGGATCTACATCACTAATCTTGGGCGCTTAATTCTCATCACACAAATAATGTGAAAACCTCCGTGATTCTCGCACAACATGTTTGGACGTTTGGTTAGTTGAAATCCAACTTCAATCGTTTGGCAACTCTGTTTCTTTGCTGGTGAGGTCGTGACTCGTGAAGGTGAAGTGGAAAGCCGGTGGACGTTGACGACTCACGAGGTGGCTTGCAGCACCTGCAAATCTACCGGTGTACCGTCCATCACCGATCCGACGTCTCATATCATTTCAACGAACAGGTCGTTCGCCTCTCGCATCGCACACGATATAAACCATTTCTTCACTGCTGAGTGCCGACTCCTCCATACTACTACTTCACGATCTGGTCCAAAGCCCCAACTGAAATTTACATCCAGGCCCTTCGCCGGAGATGGCGTCGGAGCTGACCTACCGTGGCGGCAGCGCGGCGACAGGCTCCGCCTCCAACGGCGGGGAGTACTCCCCGAAGCCCTCCAAGCCGCTCTCCTGGCTCTCCCGCGCCGCGCGCTACGCCGCCGCCGAGCACCGCCCCGTCTTCGCCCTCGCCGGCATGCTCTTCGCTGCCGCCCTCTTCACTTTCTCCTCCCCCTCCACCCCATCGCCGTCCGAACCTGCCGCGTCGGTCGGATTCAACCACCTTGCCGTCGCCGGACACCCGTCCTTCCACGAGTCCGTCGGCGGCAAGGTGCCCCTGGGGCTGCGTCGGCGCGCGCTGCGGGTGCTCGTGACGGGCGGCGCCGGGTTCGTGGGGAGCCACCTTGTGGACCGGCTGGTGGAGCGCGGCGACAGCGTGATCGTGGTGGACAACTTCTTCACGGGGCGCAAGGGCAACGTGGCGCACCATCTCCAGAACCCCAGGTTCGAGGTGATCCGCCACGACGTCGTCGAGCCCATACTGCTCGAGGTCGACCAGATCTACCACCTTGCCTGCCCAGCCAGCCCCGTGCACTACAAGTACAACCCCATCAAGACCATCATATCCTCACTCAGTTGCTTCATCTGAATCTGAATGCTATAATCCAAATTTACTTTCGTTTTATTGTTATTATTTTAATGATTGATGGCTGTGACTCAATTCATTGCTAAGTTGTTTTGTGTTATCTTTTCTTTATGGTTTAATTTTGTTTGTTCCTGATGTATTATATGGGTTTGATTATTTTTTGAAGGTAAAGATACGTTTTGGAATGAGGGTTGGTAAAAGTAGAGTATTTGAACGAATTTCATATGTTGTTTCGTAGGAAATGTTGATTTTTTTTGTAGGAAATGTGTGGTTCGTAGTTCTTTTATATGGTTTTCATACTTTTAAGTCAGTGTCTCCTTCCTGCATACAAAATTCTATGGTTGGATTGCTCTGAAGAAAGGTTCTTGGATCTGGTGATCTCGGATTGGGTTGCCTGCTAATTCTAGTTTTAATGAACATGATTGCTTCATGTTTTCCTAACTTGTACCAGGAGTAAAGGTCAAAGCTGCAAGCAGACTTTGGACCTAGTCGAGCTGTTGAAAAGTTTGGATTGTAGCTGCAAAAAATATAGGTCAAGGCTGTGGCCTTTCTTCAAAATAGTGTTGCGTATCTATCACTTCACTGTCATATGTCTTTCTTTTTTCCATCTACTAGTGCTGGTGTGCTTAGGGGAGGTGAAGCCTAAGTGCCTAGCTACCAAACTAGATCCTCAAATAGTCAGAACGTCCAAGAAGAAAGCTGGACATGTTAGTGCTTGCTCTATCTTTTTGAAATGTTATTGTGAACTTTAACTTTTGAGATGGCACAAGACGAATGTTGTTGGGACACTGAACATGCTTGGATTGGCCAAGAGGATTGGGGCAAGGTTCCTACTTACAAGCACCAGTGAGGTCTATGGTGATCCCCTCCAGCACCCTCAGGTGGAAACTTATTGGGGCAATGTCAACCCTATAGGTAACAACTCTTCTTCAAAATATTATTTTTTGTGAATTCTGTAATGCAACAGTTCCATCAAACAGATCGATTGAGTCGATCATAGGAGATTAGTGGAAAGTACAGGGATATCCTCATTGCTGGCATTAATTCTGGTGCTTCTCTTTTAGCAGGTGTTTATTTTCTTTGGAACACGATATTTAAATGTGCCATTATTAGATAGCACTATTATTTGCTCATTGGTTGTGAAGCTACTGCTCCTATGAACTGTTGGGCAAAGAGATGTTTGGCTGGAATTAGAAATGCTGGTAATTGTTGATTGTGGATTCAATGTTTGGCGTACATGCTTTGGATCTTTCTTGTGTAAGTGGACACTTTTGGTTGGTAGAATTAGTTCAAGCAGGACAGCCACTATGTAGATCCCTCCCTAATAAAGGAAGAATATGATAAAACCGCACTAGGTCAGCTTAGTTTAACCAAACTAGTGCAACCAATGAGCATGAGAGAGGAATCAAGAGGCTGAAAAGAACCAAGAAAAATAGTTGATCTTGACAGGAACGTCTGATCATATCCTAATGGGAGCCTTTTCGTATTTTGTTATGTACTGTTTGATTTCATGTACTCTTAAAGCATTTTTTTTATTAATGAAAATACTTCTGTTTTAATTATAGGTGTCAGGAGCTGCTATGATGAGGGCAAGCGTACAGCTGAAACATTAACCATGGACTACCATCGTGGTGCCAACCTTGAGGTTTTATGCCATCTGAATGCTTGATATCAATAGCATTCAGATTAATTTTTGTGGGCTACAGTACAAATATGTTAGCTTGTTTTTTTTATTTAGGTAAGGATTGCCCGGATCTTTAACACATATGGTCCTCGCATGTGCATTGATGATGGCCGTGTTGTCAGTAATTTTGTTGCTCAGGTAGCCACCAGTTGCAGCCTCCTCTTTGAACACCTTAATGTATATGCACTTTGTATTTTGGTAATAAGATGCTCATCATGAATTATGTTATTCAGGCTCTGAGGAAGGAGCCTTTGACAGTCTATGGTGATGGCAAGCAGACTAGGAGCTTTCAATATGTCTCAGATTTGGTGGGTCCCTCTATCACTCTTAAAGGGGCATTTGAACAAACCTGCCAATACCAAATGCCCTGACATATACAATATGCGTCATATGAGTGCTTAATCTTATTTGCGTAGTATCTTAGGCATACCATAGAAACTATCTACAAACTTGGTATCTCAAACATGTTGATAAATACCAGCATCCTTGAAAAGATCCATATGCTAAATATATCCCATGCTTTATTGCTCATCAGAGATGGGAGTGCATATTTATGATCTACCAAAGATGCTTTTGTCAGTCATTTCTCGCTAAGACATTCAATTATTCAGAAATCATGCTTGGTGATGAGTATCAGTCATTTGTTCTACTATCCAATTTTGTTGATTCTATAGGTATACTAAACTGGTGTCACATTTTCTGCAGGTGGAAGGGCTGATGAAGCTCATGGAAGGGGATCACATTGGACCATTCAACCTCGGTAATCCGGGAGAATTCACCATGCTGGAGCTGGCCAAGGTGGTTCAGGACACCATCGACCCAGACGCACGCATCGAGTTCCGTCCAAACACTGCAGACGATCCACACAAGCGCAAGCCTGACATCAGCCGCGCAAAAGAGCTCCTTGGCTGGGAGCCCAAGGTTCCCCTTCGTGAGGGTCTTCCCCGCATGGTCACTGACTTCCGCAAACGTATCTTCGGGGACCAGGGAGAATCCACTGAGGCAGCTGGTGGCCTTTCTTAGTCCTCAATCAACTTCTTAAAGTGACACGTTTGTTCAGTTTGTATGATCACTTGATACAAAAGCGGGCGGGAGCAAGATCTGGACAGTTTTGGTGGTATGCTCTTCGGTTGCTCTATACAACACGGACAAAAAGGTCATGGCTGCATACGTAATATAGGAATATACAAATGTTTGTTACCAAGTACGAAAATATCATGGCACTGCTGTACTGCTGCTCTTTCCTAAATTTGGATGTAATGCTATATACTATGTAACAACCTACTTTTTGTAATGGCATTGTTAATGGATTATCCGGAATGCTAATAACATCTCAAGGTCATAGCGTTATAAGCTTACATATATTTGAGCATGATGAGTTTCAGTCTGCAATGGAACACAAGACCGAGCAAATGTTCACAGCAATGGAGGGAAGGGAACTTTGACGAGCATATAAGACCTATATATTACAAATTTGCACATCATCACTCCTTATTTGCCATTGTTGAAGCAGGCGCTCATCTGATCCGGGACCGGGACGGTAATTCTGTATTCACATTTCTGCATGGTGATGCGTCCGGCCGGCAAGCCCGCAAAGGAGGCCCGGCCGCCGCCTCCGAGGACGCCCTTGTGTCTGCGCTTTGCCGTCGACGGCGTCGTCACCATCGATGAACTTGGCCGTCGCTGGCACCAGCTTCCTGAAGCGGTCCTCCATGGTCCAGCTCCGGCTGCGCTGGTTGAGCCAGGAGACGATGTCGGAGAAGACGGCCTCCACGTTCTCGTCGGTCTCCCCAGCAGTGAGGCCGTGCCACATCCCCGGGTAGAGCTTGATGGTCTTGTCAGCACTGGCCGCGCGCTCGTACAGGGCGCGGCTCACCTCCGGGTCCGTCACCGTGTCGGCCTCGCCGTGCAGCACGAAGAACGGCAGCTTCACCTGCCCAAACATTCAGAAAAAGTTCAGAACCAGAGTTGAACTGCTGTGACTGACAGACAGATTCTACCGTCGAATGCAACATTGAGACTGAAAAAAACGTGATCGGGTAAGCCTGGTGGTACCTGTGACAAGCTGTCTTCTATGTACATGCTGGTCCTGAGCATCTCCAGCGCAGTCTTGAGCCGTGGCTTGTCCTGGTAGATCAGCCTGTTTCTCCTGATCTGCTTGGCATGGCAGGAGCATCATAAGAGCGTTTCTTTCAGACAAGACCATTTTTGTAAAAAAGCAAGGCAGTCGTCGATGAGATGACTGACCTTTTCACGCTTGACGGGGTCCTTGAAGGCGGCGTCGATGACGTCCTGCTTGGTGGGCACGATCTTCCACTTGGGGATCACGTCCTCCACCTGCGTCAGGAGCGTGATCACCACAGGGTGCGGCTTCACCTTCTCTGATATCTGAAAACAAACAAATTTGGTTGCGTCCACCGGCAACGCAACAGGCCGGACAAGAGTTTTCAGTTCAGGCAAGCACAAGCATGCAACTGATCGTGCAGACGAAGCAGAGGATTCAGACGAGGACCCACTGACCTTGCACATCGGCGCGACGAGGACGGCACCGTCCCAGAAGGCGGGGTCCTTCCTGTGCAGCAGCAGCGCCACCGCGCCGCCCATGGACTCGCCGTACAGGAACCGGCTCTTGCCCCGGTACTCCTCAAGCTCTGCATCAAGGCATAGGAGCAGGTTCAGAGATTTCAGAAAGCGATCTGATCAGGAAATAGGAATGGCAGATGGAGAAGGTAATCAACGATGCAGCCAGCCTAGGCCTAGCTCACGCTCAGGCTCACCCACCGCAGATGGACTTGAAGAAATGGCTGCAGTCGTCGACGAGGCGGCGGAAGCTGCGGATGTAGCAGCGCGCGCCCATGGACTTGCCGTGACCCTCGTAGTCCATCCCGAACACGCCGTACCCGGCCGCCGCCAGCCGCACGCCGCATTCTGCACTCATCGATCGTCCACGCATTCGTATTATTGAGAAACAATGAGGATCAGTGAGTGAATACACATTATGCTGTGCTTTGCTATAATGATAAACCGTTGTCCTCACTTCACACATAGACATTATTATTCAGGTTAGTTTGTCGGTACGATTTCCACTCAACTGACTAAAACAAGCCAAATGAACGAACACTACTGCATCTCCCATATGTTAAATCTAAACTACAAAACCTGATCCCAAGCATTTGTACAGTCTCTAACTTGAACTACTTGTGCTGTGCTTTGCTGCAGAACATTTCCAATCCCAGAAAGTTGCAATGCCAAGGGGAGTTGGGAGCCTTGAAAACAAGCATCCTAAACATAGCAATAGGGAAGAAGGTGGAGGAGGCCTAAATTCTTGATTGACAACGCCTTCAATCCACTATAAATGAGGCCTGTCCACCCTACAAGTACTCCACATGTTCGGCCATTCCCGCCATTGCTGTGCAGTTGTGTGCATCCACCATCACTGCAACGACCTCCACGCAGTTAAGGCTCGATCGGCGCCATCAAGCCGACCTGCACGAAGCCTTGGGGCCATCGTCAATCATGATGAGCTTCTAGAAGTTCTCGTTCTTCAAGAGTCTAAATGCCTAACCTTTCGTTATATATTATATATTGGATGTATGTGTATCACTTCCATTCCCATGTATTGGAATGGAACTTAGTTTAATTCCACTCCAATCCACTTCAACACATGTGGATTGAGATGGATACATGTGCATCCAAACAAGGCCTATACGATTATTAAAACTGGAAGAACTTCGATGTTACCAAGTACTATGCCCGTCCAACTGAGTTCCATGTATCAACCAAATCCATCCAGAAAATGAGGTTACGCTGACGAAGCAGGCGATATGATATATGTACTTCAATCATCACCTCATCAAAACATAAAAAGAGGAGAAATATTCTACGTACAATCCAGATATACCAACAGACAAAACTCAAGCACACATGCTTGGTTTAGAGAATCTTTAATATTTCTGTATGGTTTTACAATTTTCAGTTAGGTTGGGTGTACATTACTGTATTAGGGATTTGCAATACAAGTACTCCTACTGATGAGTGGTGACTAGCGAGTACTAGTGACCACTGACCACCATCCACCAGTCCACCACACGGCTACTATCAGCCTGTTCGCCTGTTCGCTTGGTCGTAAACGATCGTAAATTTTCAGTCAGAATAATATTTTTCTCTCACACCAAACCTGTCAGCAGTAATTATCCACGATCGTATACGATCGTATCAGCACCCGGCGAACCGGCTGTATATCATAATGAAAATGAAATGATCTGACTCCATCCAGCCCTCATATAGCACCCGAACAAGTACTCCTACACACGAAGCACAGGCGCTTATTGCGTGGGTGATGGCAACCCGGCCGGGCTGGGCCGTGGTGGTTGGTCGGGGGCAGCTCACCCGTCCAAGCGCCCCCTCTCGCCGGCGACGTACGGCGGCCAGATCGGTGGTCGCGTTACAAGTACGGCGATCATATCGGCGAGAAAAGAAAATGGTGTTGGTTTGGTGCATGTAGGTTTGGTGGGCTGGTGGCTCATCATCAACAACAACGTCTACTGGTTAGATGGGGAAAGTGGCCGGCGAAAGCTCCGGCGAGAAGCAAAGCATCGTATTCAGGACGTGATATGTATGCCAGACTACAAGTAATCGAGCAGCATGTTAATTATTTGCAGTCAGTTGGTTTTATCTGTGTAGTTAAGGCAATCCGAGGTTTTTGCCAGCCAACTGTGAATTCATTAATTAAGGAGGCTGACAGATGACCAGATGAACAGCTAGAGCACGAGCACGTGCAGCGCATTGTCTAGACATTTCTGTCACCTAAACCACTGTTAAGTAACATGCATGAATGAAGCAACTACTAAAATGCAAAACCTCAGAAGAAGCAACAGTAGTGGAGAGATTGGTGAGAGACGTCCTGAGCTGGGCGCTGGTCAGGCATCGACACGATCGGAGGACACGCAGCACGCCAGCACAGCAGCAGCGAGCGGTGCAGGCAGGTGCCTTGAATTGAGACGACCTACCCGGGACGGCGTTTGAATGCGGAGGAGATGAGCCGAGCCAGATCCACTAGCGAGGAGTAACTGCTCATGTCTACCCTTTCAGGTAGCAGGGGTACTTGCACGATGTATACTCCTCGCCGTGCCCGCAGGTGCATGCAATGTGATGTGCTTATCAACATCCGTGGACCGGGACGCATTAAATAAATTACTATGTTACGCTGCTGCTTTTGAGCTACGGCCTTGTTTAGATACCCTTAAAATTTCAAGTTTTTTCACTCTCTCTCCATCACATTAATTTTTAGCCGCTTGTATGGAGTATTAAATGTAGGTAAAAAAATAATTAATTACACAGTTTAGTTGGAAATCACGAGATGAATCTTTTGAGCCTAGTTAGTCCACGATTGGACAATATTTACCAAATAAGACGAAAGTAGTACTATTCATTGGATTGAAAAAAGTTGTAATCTAAACGAGGCCTACGTACATAGCTAACAGAACAGCTGCTGCTGTTTCTGTCGTCAGGTCAACTGTTTGAACCCCGGCGACGACCAAGGAACACTACCCAACACATAGCGGCAGCAAGATGTGGTTTGCTAATCAAGACACGTATATATGTTTATGTTTAATAGTACGTACAACTTTTGTTTACAAGAAAGTACATACGAACGAACTACTATATATTGTCCTTGGTAGTATTTGTTTCACCTGATACTAACTGCTTTTACTGAATGCCGGAGGAAAAAAAAAACCAAGGTCGTTACTGCATGCACGACGCTTATGTATCAGCCGAACACAGCCGATTCAATAAAAGGTGACGCATGTACGGCAACTTTTATGAGAATAATACTAGCAGGATATGGGGATTTTTATTTCATCGATCGAAGAGCGTGGAACAGTGGAGATGAACAACAATCCAAAAGATTGGCAATATATATAATGCAAAGTTAGAAAAGGAGCAAGAACCTTTCAGAGAAAAAAAAATGTACACATATATACTGATCTTTCTGTCATTTTTTTTCCCAAAAAATTGTGAAAAAGAAACCAACACAAAGAAAGGAAGCACAGAAAGACATGCAACTGCAAGAGCACATCGACCAAAGTCGATGAAGCGATGGAGTAGATGTGACATACCTCTCATGAAGCCACTGCACTCCATGCCGTAGCCTGAGGCAAGCAACACGATCGAACACAAATGAGAACGAGTAGTAACTGAAAGAGCTGTTAGTGACGACGGTTTGTGTATCTGTATTCTAGTGCAGAGCTAACAGGTAACTGATGAAACAAGGAAAGGAACAGCTAAGCTCATTACTCCGCGTGAACGTAATTATTACCGTGGCAGAGGAAGACGAGCGCCTTGGGCGATGTGGCGACGGGCAGCCAGCCGCAGGTGAAGAGCTGCACGCCCCTCGAGTTCCGCACGTACTCCTGCTAGTCCGCCGTCCGATCCATGGCGTTCCGCGACCAAGGAAGAAGAAGAAGCGCACCAAACGGAGATCAGCAAGGACGAAATGAAGGCCCGGCGGAAAATCAACCAACAACCAGTCGCCCACCGCAATGCGCGGAGCAGACTCCTCTCACCCTCACCTCGTGGTATTCGACCTCCATGTCTTCCACTCCACGGCCGCCGCGCCCCGTCGAGGCGTGCGTGACAAGGGGTGAAAAGATCGAAAAGAACTGCAGGTGCTGCTGGTGAGGCTCGTGTGAGCCAAGAAGAAGAACCGAGGCTCGCGTGGGAGGCGAGGTCAGGCGCCAGAGGCGTCTGGTTTTTGTAATAAAGTTGGGGGTGCACAGGCACGGCAAGCAAGGGCCCTTCTGGATTCGGATTTGGGACGCGGCTGCAGCTCCGTCCGTTCCTGGGGTGGGACACGGAGAGGAGTTGGCAGCGGACGGGCTTCTAGACGAGAAGACCCGGGGATGCATTGCATTGGGCTGTTTGGATGATGCTGTGTGTGCCAGTCATCAATTCGGACCCCAGGCCGGCAGGCCTACCGAACCGTACGGTTCGGATCACTTGTGTGCCGGTAATTTGTTGGTGCCGCCATTGTACATACATGTTACACGCATGAACACCACATTCGCACAAGTAATTAATCCAAACATGGCCCAAAGTATGGAACATGCATGTACCTAATCAACAAAAAGGTTCTAAAATAATTTACACTGAGTACCATTCGGAGGCACCTCAATCACTCTATCTGATCAGAGTGTCCAAACTGAACATCGTTCGTCCATCTGGCAACAAAATCAAGAATTATGAAACGACGCAAACACACCAGTATCAAACGCCTTGGGTTACATATATCAATGCTATATATGCATGACCCTGTTATCTTCTCTTGTAGAGAAACTGCACAGCTGCTAGCAGAAAAAGGAGTTAGCAAAAGGTCGCACCAATGGTTCACTAAACCATGCCATCTAGCAGACTGATTTTATTCTCTCGACAAGAATCGCAATGAAGTCAGATTTTGATCTGGGCCAGAGGAGTAACAGGGTAACAGCTTCACTGAGTCCATGATACTCGGGTAATATTTGCAGTGATGTAAATTCCCAGCAACAAGTTAACAACTCCAAACTGCACAGGCTGGTAATTGATGAACCTCAGCTTATGGCTCCTCATGCAAAAATGACCAAGGCCCCGATTTCCATAGCAACCTGAGGGTTTTTTTTCCAGTGAGTTCACTAATTAATATCAGAGCATAACAGAGCATGCATTGCATCAACTAAAAAAGCATAGATGTCAGTCAGGGTGTTTATTTAATAAGCAACTCCAAAAATGCGCCATTTTACCAGCCAAAGCGTCATGTTCGTGAAATGAAGAAACTCTATGTGCTACCAGGTGCCAGTTGGTACAAAGCACATGGCATAAATTTCACCTATCTAGCTGAAGCTAAGAAAAGTGACACAAACAGTGAGGATCTCTGAAAGATCACAGAAAAACAATGCTTCCTGGCATTGATGTAATCTGTTCCTGATGATCAGCAAACATGTTGCACAAATGAAGTCATGATGACAAGTGGAAGATCTAACCAGTATGAGTAGCAGTAATAGTCTTTAACATCTATTAATGTCAATTTTACTGCTAAGCCACATCAATCTTATGAAATTACAGAACATCATAATATGATTTTTTATTATAAAATAGATTAATAGAATGAAAAAATAAATTGCAGGATCACAAATGCATTGTGCGAGGTACAAGGTAGAATAATAAACACAATCACCTCAGAACGCCTGCAGCCATACGCAACCCCATGAGTGTAGTCAAACCAGCCCAAACTCCAGCCAGGCCAAATACAGATGGAGCCCATAACAGGACGAGTGAAGACATAACACCAACCACAATCTATAGAAAGAAAAATACAGAAATGAATAAACAATTGAAAAACAAAGGATACGAAAAAGCTGGAGGACTAGTTAACATACAGTAGCTTGAGCAACATAGTCAAAATCTGATACACCATAGTGTAGACCGTCAAAGATGAAGGCCAGGGCATTAATTGGTTGACTGGCACAGACAAACTGAAACGAAATTTAACATTAGAAAAAGACATAAATGACACAGAAATTAGCAGTAATGTTGGAGGATTTACCAATGCACAAGATTTGACAACCATTAGGACCTCTGGGTCACTGGTAAATAGTCTAGCTATATTGCCAAATGAGGCATACAATCCAATGGCCAAAGCTAATCCACTAAACACTCCTATCTGGAAGAGAGAAAAACATACAAAAAATAGTGAAAACGTGCATCCATATGCATAAATTAAACTTTAAATAAAAAGAAGTGAAATACATTTCACCTGCAATGCAAACATTGCTATCTTTTGAACCCTTTTGTAGTCCAATATTGCATAAGAGCTTGCTATCAGCGCCTAAAAGAAGAAGAAAAGTTAGTTGGACTATAACAACTGATAGATCATGATCAGATCATCAAGCTAGAACAATCTCAGTATATAATAGTATGTTCTAAAAGTTTGCAGGCTCTGCATATAGTATAGTTGACCAGCAGAGTTTAGGGAAACCAATTTTAACGGGAGGATGACTTCTAGAACTGAACATACATACCTGGGCAGAAACAGCTAAAGCGTCTGCAAGCAAAGATACAGCAAGCCATACTTGCAAACAAATCTGATGAGCGGCCATCGCTGTTGGGCCTTGCCGAGCAGCCATTGATGTACCAATGGTCATAGTTAACAGAATTGAAAGAGTTCTTCCCAACAGCATGCCACCTACATATCCAAGGATACATAGATGATAAGTAAAGATGCCAAAACAATAAGGAAAATAAGAAAATAGGAAAACAGAAAATGAGTGTATTAGTGCCCAGAAGGTTGACATGAGATCTCAAAGGACTGTATGCTGTAGGCATGGATTTTTACAACTTACTTTTTTTTCTCAAACGCGCAAGAGAGCTGTGCATCATTGTATTAAGAAAAGAGGAGCTAAGAAGACTCATACAAGCCCACTAGAGCAAGGTCCAAAAAAATAAGAGAAAAAATGCCCAAAAAAAAAACTTGACCAGCAACCTAACAACAAAATCATTGCCAAATGCTTCTAAGGTCTTTTGCACCCCCATAAACTATAGATTAGCCTCATGATTTTTACCACTTACGGCAAACTTTATGGTGTTTGGAAAAACTGGTTCTCTTTTTCCCTAATTGCATTAATCAGATCCATAAATGTTCGTTCCCAAAACAAAAGATCCATAAATGTTCCTCCTAGAAACAGATAACTAATTTAAAATGACACAATGCCCATATGTTAGCTAATTGATTCGCTGATGGTGAAGATATACAAGTGGCTAGAGAATGAGGAATTCATAAAGGACAATGTGGGCTTTAGCAAGAAGCCTAGAACATAGACATTCAGTGCCCTATTTCTGCTTTTCAGAGTTGAGTTGGACCAAATTAAATGCATCATGCTGGCACAAATGGAATTATCAATGGGTCAAACTTCTAAATTAAGCAAAATAGCTCAAAGCTCCAAGCAAGAAAGATCCAAACTCTGACAAACCAGACAATGAGTATACCAAAGATGCTACAAAAGCCGGTAAAAACACATTATGAAGAAGTTTCATATAGAATGCACCACAAATCCACAACTGAACAAAATTAACTAGTGGAGTGGCTGCATCAGACATTCACCAGATTTTAGATATCCACCAAACTCTAACTGATCTATTCCCGGAGGAAGCAAAACAGCTTTTTTACTTAGAGACCGAAGAAGAAGAACAGTAATAATGTACCTGCATCGTGAATGGAAACATTGTTAGACAAACTCAAATTGTAACTAGCAAAAGTTCTGTCAGTGATCCAAATTTATAACTGCATAGTACCACTGATGATAGGAACTTACTGGGACACAACTGTAGAAATTGCAGCACCAGTTATGCCAAGCTGAAAGCCATATATAAGTAGAGGAAGAAGGGCTACAGCGGAAAGATTGCCCAAACCTATAGGGTATGAAAATGATACAGGAATCATGAAGTGGAAGAATACAGGGATTTGGCACCAGACAGTATGGAAGAATAAAGTTCAAATAAAACTTTGCAAATAAACAGCATCCACATTTAAAGCATAAAAGGAATAACATGATTTACAATACTGAGAATGGAACATTATAAGAATTTTTTTTTCTCGAACAACACAAGAGATCTGCATGTCATTCCATTATAAGAAGGAAAAGAGGTACAAACTATATACAGAAAAGGGAGAGGCTAAAGGAAGCCCCTCCCAACACAATGACACACACGAGACTACAAAAGGATGTGCCAAGCTAAGGGACACAAACACAACCACAACCAGCCCACCTGCAACCACCCTCAAGGGTCAGGGCCTAGCAACCTAAAGAGGAGCTCATGGAAGGCCGAGGCGCCAGCCAATCCACAGGCTGCTTTCATTAGCCACTGTGAGAAGGAGAGTCTGAATGTTTGGTCCAGCACCTTCAAAGACAATGGCGTTCCTATGTTTCCATATCTCCCAGGCAACAAGAATGATTAGAGAGTTAAGGCCTTGCGCATCTCCTTAAGGAGACCTCTAATAGCACTGCCCCACCACTGGGAGAATCATAAGATATTCCACAGCACAATAGACAGAACTACTCAGAATATCAGGTAAGAATGGTAAAAAAAAGTCAGCCACAACAAGGAACTTAGCTACATGGCAACTCGCTGTTACTTGCATCAAAACGTACTTCGCAGTGCTCATGTGTTAATATAAAAATGAGAAAATTGCAAAAGCCACTCCACGCCAATTTGGTTTTGAGAACACACCCCCTGGGCATTTTGTTGCAAAGGCCCACCACCCTTACCCAGATCCAATGTAAAAAAAAAAAAACACCCCGCCATGCATGAGTTCAGCTGATTCCGCCTGTTTTTGTCAACACAGAGCCAGTACAGGCCAAGGTAGCTGAGTCAACCATGAGTGGAATCGACCAAGCATGGGCATGGTAGGGTGGTTTTTGCAATGGGGCCAAGTGCAGGAGTGGGCTTTTGCTACAACACCTTTTGGGGAGATATCAAAATCAGAGTGACATATGAGGTGGCTTTAGCAATTTTCCCATAGAAAAAAAGGGGAAAGGTGATGAAATTGCAATATATAGTATTTCTTGGTAGTTACCTATATAAAGCACCGGAGTCTTTGTATCCTTGAATCCCCGAAAGATACCTTGGACTGCCAACATAATCACATTTGCAGGTGCTCCGAGAGCTCTCAATGAAAGAAAGAGTTTCGCAGGTCTATACATTGGAGAGACCTGTATAAATACTAATATGAGATATCTAGAACTGCAACAGGTGCAAAATTACTTATTTTTGTATTCAGTTAAAGAGTCATTGCCAATAATGTAGTAGAAAAGGCAATATAAAATGTTCCTCCCTATAACACGATGTGAAAACATGAAAACAAGAATCATAATTTAAACATACAGGTGACACGCCCATTAGTTGAAGAAACAATCCTGATCCTAGGAACAATGCTAATGCTTCCATTATACCAATTCCAGCAGCTAAGATCAGGGCAGATGATACAGATGTCAACTCCAATTTGCCTGCAATGATATCAGAAGGCAGATACAAACCCTGAATTATAAAGCAAGCACATAAAAAGACACATAACTATATGTGAGGTTAAAAAAAATTGGCATTTATCTGACGATTCAGTTACCTGAACTAGGATGCTTGGTAGCACTCCTAGAAATATCCTCTGCCACAAATGAGGTTGCAATGCTCAACAGTGGAATGTTGAAGATCTTTGACACAATATTAAAAATTGACATACCAATACCAGCCGATGCCAATTCCAATGCACCTTTCAGAAAATATGCAAAAGGTGAGAAAGGGAAGAAGTAACAGATGCTTTCATGCAGTAAGTAAAGAGTACAACACATTTTTCCAGCTCGACAGGCAAGTGTGTAGGGTATTCTTTAACATGCCTAGGTTCTGCATGCCAGTTTACAGAATGCACAATCTTCTAGAGAACAAGGACAGGCTCATGTGCATTTCCACACGATAATGTAATGTGCATCTGTAACTGCCACACTAGGGCCAGAAATCTGTTGTTTCATCTCAGCAGTTATCATGCAGGAGATCTATAGCAGCATTCTGGTGATGAGCTCATGCATTAATATGCGCACTCCATAAAAATTAAAATAGATAGTAAGAGGCATTAAAGGGATTAATATACAGCACAACTGTGACATTCCAAATAGTCTTCTTGATAGAGAAGGAAACAGCAATGTTCTTTGAGTTCAGTCATGCTGTAGTATAGCAAATGTTGCAGTTACAGTAAGTTTCCACCAGATTTTTTTTAGAAATAATGCCACTGAGTTGGGTGTCACTAACATATTATCTTACATAAGGTATAAAATCTACTTCCAATGAAACAGAAGTACTGAGAATTAAGTACATTGGATGGCTTATGGCAATAAACTTAAGCAATGAATAAAAAGCAATGAACATAAGATATAGCAGTAAAGGAGGTACCTAATCTACCAATGTATGCAGTCTCCATAAGTTGCGCCATTGGATCAATAGCTTGACCCAAGACTGCTGGTAGAGCTAGAAGAATTAGCTCACTTCTGACACCCACAGAATTCAGGCTGCTGTTTATTCATCTGATCGTTAGAAAAGGCACACTATATCATTTGAAATGTAAGACATTAAGATACAGAGCAACATAGCTGTAGCCTACCAGTCTAAAGAACAAGGGGCATGTGAAAATCAAAGCGACATAGAGTTATAGTGGAATATATAGTCTTACATGACAGCGTCCTTTACGGTAGCAAAAGAGATGTTGTTGCCTGTTTCAAGGCATTGATCGCCATCATCAGGTGTGTATCCTGGTACTGACTGGCCACTGTCAACAGTGGTGATTCGCCGCCTTGTAGAAGACCACCCCCGCAGGAGGAGCAACTTCGCATTGTTGGTCGATTGCGAAGCAGTGGTTCTGCTGTTTGCCTTGTTACATATGCAAGAACAAGCAACCCTAGTCGGTGGACAAATCGCACCATGCCGAGAGACAAGTGGACTGTGCTGGTGCAGGTGCAGCATTGTTTTGCCTCAGATGTCTGGACGAGGTGCTTAGACAACGTTGCTCATTCTTGTATATGCAATGTGGAGGAGAGGGCACAGCCGAGTGAATGGATCAATAAATAAATTGCTGGCATAGCTCATTGAATTTTCAGAAATTTTGGGGAAAAACGAAGTTAGTTGGCATAGTAGCTAGTACTAGCATATACCTGCAGTTGGGTCAGATCTGAATACAAATAGCTTACATTAGGGTATGGGGTGCACGTTTTCGCACGGCTGGAAGGGAAGGGGAGGGATGAGCGTACCTGGTGGATGCTCGTCACCGGCGACAGGACCAACGAATCCCTGGCGGCGCCGCTCGCCCAACGTCGCTTGGTCTCTTCCACCCTCTCTGCTGCTTCCAAATCAATATATCACGCTCAAGCCCCGGGTATTTCAATCCATTTCACGACTTTCAATCCATATATCACGCTTTGATTTGATGCTTCGTTTCAGAGGAGGGGGGGGAGTAAGCAGAGACAGCGAACGGGGGAATCGAGCAGAAAAGTTAGTGGATAAGGTCAGGGCAACATTGTCTTTTCATATCTGCGTGTATTTGCCATTCAGTTTTCTGAATTTTTTCCGACCAAAAGTTTATATGCTTCAGAGGGCCAGAGCGGGCTATGAAGTATGAATGTGCAATAGTAAACGGAAGTTGTGATTTTACTCCACCGTTTTATTTTTACATGTTATACGGAGTATTAGTTTTATCGTAAATTAAACATTAATATATTTAACTATTTATTTCAAAACAAATCCTTATAGCTTCATAACATATAAATCATATATTATGAATGATTAATCATGGTGAATCTAAAAAGATAAATCTTATGTCATGAACCTATATAATTTTTTTGAAATCAATGTTCAAAGACACATTTTTAAATTAGGACAAAGTTAATACGATAGGTAAAAAAAACATAGGGAGTACTTCCTCCATTCTAAGTGATGATTTACAAATCATTTTATTTTTTTTAGAAATTTAGTTTTACTACACATCTAAAAATAAATATATGTCTAGAAACTTCAAAAGAACTTATAATTTGAAACAAAGTGAGTACCTTATTTGCAACTCAAGTTTTTTTATATAAAGTTTCCTAGCTATTCGAGGTTGAGGGAACTGTGAACTTGCATTTTTTTTCCAAAGAAAAATGAGGCGGCGGTGACACCAGGTAGTTACAGCATATGCAGTTTTTTTTTTCTCATTTCCTAATGCAAATTTAAGAGTTTTAATCTTATTAAATTAAATAAAACATCATATAAGCTAAATAGATAACACTATAAAAAGTTTATGGAAAAAATAATAAGTTTCATTTAGATAAAAGCTTGCTATGCCTATACGTGCTTGCCTATATATTGAAACATCACCATGACATAATAGTTTCATCTTGAGTTGGAAACAAAATGTAACTGCATTGTGGCCGGTTTGTTCCAGCCTATTCGCAAGCCCTTATAAGCGACTGTTGCTGCAGCGGCCTCTCACAGGCTACTGTGCAAACAGCAGCAAGAGCTACAACAATAGCTGCAGCAAACAGGCCCCCATTGTAGGAGGGATCATGGTGCCTAGATGTATGTGGTCACGAATGAAGAGTAGAGAGTTAAATTGCATCACCGAAAATATTTATGGACTCTACTTATTTTCATAAGATTAACCTAAATGTGCTAGAAATAAGTGTAGCTAGGAATAATCTAGTGCTCTACTTAACAACCCCCCACACACACACACACACACACACAAGAGTTGTACACCATATAACCAAGTACAAGTATTGTCAACTAGCCTGTTAGCTAATCTAAGAATGGCGAATACATGCAACAACAAGTAATAGGCATAATTGGAGTAAGGCATGAACAATGAAAGATAAAACCTTAGAGATGCAAGTTTATTCCATGGTATTGGTTAGCAAAATACCACCTCTAATCCAAGTTGATGCTCAAAAAGGAATCACACACCCGATTAAGAAGGTTGTGTTATTTTCCATGGATCAGATATAACGGCTTATATTCTGAAAGCATTTGGTTAACGAGTGTTGATGGTCATTTTAGTATGATTTTGTATAGTCAAAACCGTTAACCTTGCCATGCAAACATAAAGAAATGAGCATAACATGAACATATTTTATTCAAATGATAAGTTCCACATGTACATGGAGTTTATTTGGTGTAGGAAGATTTTGGTGATAATTAAATTCTCAATTCTGCTATCAATAGAGTTCACATTTGAGATGAAAAATGTACATCATATACTTAAAATATCCTAAAAATAGAAAATGCATACTTTTTGGAAGACTCACACCTGCAGGGGCCCACTTGCAAAAGATGAGCAAAATGGGCCTAGTACAGGGTCGCTTGGACGGTCAACCAGGCCCAATGGCCCCAACTTTGGTCCACAAGCGAAAAAACACAATAGGGATCACATCCCACCGTTGGGATTAAGTCGGTGGAGGATCAATGGAATAGATGAAGTGTCACATGGATCCATGAGCCCATAAGGCAATCAAACGAGATCAACACATCAATCCCCGGCTTAACCCATGTCTATAGTCATGCTAAGACCCACCACACGGAAGATGGTGGTCCTATGCATCAGTGGGGCATTGGCAGATGTACCGTATGGTCGGCCAACATCATGTTGCACCATATCGCCTCAATCTTTCGGACATGCAAGGAAACATAATTGTGAACATCTCTACCTGTGGGATTCACGTTGGCTTGATCCAAAGGTGTGCAGGATCCATCACTTGGATTGAAGGGCCTACCTCCTCACTCTCTCCAGGCTATACATAGGCCCCTCTCACATGTAACACACACCACAAGGAGCAAGTCTCTGCACTCTCTCAAGACATAGTAGTAGAAGTAATAGTATAGTTGGGAGTTAGAGTGAGTTGAGCTTAGTCTCGGGTTTCCCGATCTAGTCTTCATGGAGGTATGGTAAAGCTCTTGTAATGTTTCCTTTCTTTGCAAGACTTTTGAATTATCTTATATACTTTGCCTTAGTGTTTTACTTTATTGCAACATACCTAGTTGTGTTGTATTGATTATTAGCATAGTCATAGTTGTATGCCTATGATATAGAAGTAATATACCTTTGTGCCCGACCTTCTAGCTTTTATTTCTAAGTTCTAGTGATGCCAACCTTCTAGCTTCACAAACAATACATGGCCAAAACAATATCTATCTCTTATAAAATAAAACCCCACTAGCGAGTCTATTTGATTCCACAACGATTCACATCATCACCTAATATAATCCATTTAATTAGATTTGTCAACCAAATCCATCCGCTCATCTGTTCAGCCATTCGTAATCCGTTTCTTAATTTCTAGCTACATGCCCACGCATTACAAGTCTGAATGAACCACTTGACCCCATTGTTCAGTAGCAGATGAAAAAAAGCAAAACAATTACTCACGCCGCCACCTACACACTTCTTGCGTTGTTTCGTCTTGGAGAAATGTCGCCGCCCACGGAAAAAAGGAAAAGAAAGCGTCTCTGCCTGCTGCCCTAGTGCTCCACATCGCCGCCCTTCGCCTCCACTTCTTCCCCTTACTGTTGACTCTCATTGCATGTGATTGGTGCTCTCCTCCTATGCCCCACATTCATGCTCTGCTTCAAACTGCCACATCGCCACCATTCCCATCCCATTCACACTCTAACCGCCACTGCCTGCTACCTTCCTAGCACCACATCGGCCATGGAACCATCTTCCTCTTGCCTGTGCCCACCATCTGGTGGATATATTCTCTATGATTGTGGTAATTCATCATATTACATCACAAGTTCATACGTGTTCCTACATTACCAATATCATGCATATACATACACTCCTATGATTCAGTGGTTAATGTCTAAATCCATTCATCTATATATCTTGATACCCGCAGCAACGTGTGGGGAATAATGCTTCTATATGTAAGGGTAGTAATTTTATTGGTATCGCACATGAATACATGATACACATCATGGACCCAAAATAAAAGAAACTCTTTATTATATTTATTATAATAAAACAGCTTTCCTATACTCTCTTAAATCATGATGTGCACACGCATGAACAAAAGGCTACATCTAGTTTTGCAATATACATGCTAGTCCCCTACCGAATGTTTGGTGCCGCCGAGTGGACCTGCATGATGCATGCTAGCTCTGTCGCCGGCGTTTGGCGTTATATTTTGCATGCCCTTCACCGCTTCATCATTCATTCATGCATGCAAGCGATCCGTGTTGGCGTTTGGCGCGTAGAACCTTTTGGGGTTAGCCACAACATTAGGCAACACCAGCTGGATCGGAGTGTACCAAAAGTAATCTTGGATTCAGTCATGAAGAAGGGAGGGTGAGTCTTTGAGATCCAAGCAACTAGCAAGCGCCTGAGCCATGGTAGCTTTGATAATATACATACAAGTCAACGGATGCATGGCCATTGGCCTCAAGGAATCCAGCCCCAAATAAACACAACTTGCCCGCCACGGATACGTACAGTCTCGGCCTTTATTGTATGAGTATATATCTTTATGACAGGGACAGCTTTGCGCCAATACGCCATCGTATAGTTATCTCTCCATTGCACTCAGCGTCGGCCCAAACGAACCGAACAAACATCGCAATCGCTCACAAGCTCTTGGAAGACCCGTGTCCAGAACTCCAGATCCCAGCCGAGACAACCCAAGACCCAACCATCCGGCCGGCAAGGTCCTGCAACAGGAAGCAATTGCTTTTTTTTCTCTATTTTTTTTAGATAATAGAACAAATGTTCCGGCTTCACCTTCTCCCAAAAGAGAAGCACCGGACCAAGCTTATTATAAAGTTTAGTTATTATCCTATCGAATGTTTGACACATGTATAGAGTATTAAATATAGACTAAAAAATAACTAATTGCATAGATTGTGACTAATTTGCGAGACGAATTTTCTAAGCCTAATTAGCACACGATTCGATAAGGTGTTGCTACAGTAAATGTATAGTAACATGTGTTGATGATGGA